AGCTAGTAAAATTCACATTGAGACCACTGGGTTGTAGGCATCCAAGGCGGAATACGAGGTGCTGTTGTTCTAGTGAGCCTTCTCCGAACTGCCTCCAATGAAATAAGATCTTTCCTTTAAATAAAGGGATCAAAACTGCTAGTACTCTAGCTGTGGTCTCGCCACTACCTTGTACAGTTATAGTAGGAATAGGACTTCCTCCAATCCATTTGAGAAGAGATGAAGCCTATTTTCTCAGATTGAAACTAGTTTTTAGCCTAAGTACTGAAAGGAATTGAAGGAGCCCTTACTGAGCGAAAAGCTAACATACTTTTGAAATCATACTGCACAGACATCAAAATAGTTAAGGCACATTCTTCTGTGCCTCCTTCCTTCTCTTTCAAATTCAAACAACCTACGATTACTATAGTGCCAATTGTGCATTGCTACACTTAATACCTCATTTCTCAAATGTTTCAACTGTTCATTGTCCAGTGCTTGCAGCAACGTGACCACGCTATACTGATGATTAACCAAATCAGTACCTGGAGTTGGTTGGTTGGAAATTGTACTCCCCCAGTTCTTGTTTTATCACAAGTCATGGGAGCGAAGCTTTGTTAGTTTACTGTCAACCGACTTACCCTTGTTTTGTGGCGTGGCAATTATTTAGTTCCTATGTGTCTGAAGTTTGCCATGCAACACCTGCACCCTAAAGATGGGCACTTATTTCCAGATGTCAGCATTCCCACACTGAGCATTCTTCCTCGATGAGTAAGAACCACATTTGAATAAAATATTAGTTTTTCGTGCAGATAATTCACCACAGAATGTGATGTTAAAGTGCATGTTTGAAGGGTCCTGTTTTTGCATGTTATGGTAACTTTAAATCTTGATTTGTCCTTGTTGCTTTTATTGCATGTTACAGGAAGGTGAAATTTAAAATGGATGGACACACTGCAAAGTTTATTTTGAGTAATTGTGTTTTAGTGACAGGCGATGTGTCTGTTCTTTGAGTGTATGTGCGCATTTCACACCTGCAGCAGTTATAGCATTACTGTAACTTGTGAGGAAATCATATTGTAGTAGGACGTGGAGTTGTGGATAGTCTATCTTGCCCACCTATCTAACACCCAGCTCTGAGAGGTGGTAAGCGTACTCTCTTAATGCCCCTTTTTTTGATTTGATCAGAAAAATGTGGTTTGTTTACTTTTATCAATGGTCCAAAATGTTTAAAATAGTTTTCCATTTTTGTACTCAGGATGCAATTAAATTGAGAATATCTTTTAATCTAACTAGCTTTGCTTCTTAAGATGGAATGAAAGTTTTTTTTTTCTCTTACCTGTCCTTGTCTCTTAGTGCCCTTAATTTTGTATCTCGCACTTCCAGAAATTTTGTGCTGCCTTCCATTGCACTATTACAGGATGTATATGAGTTTTAGACAGCTGCGCATGTAGTGTTCATCATCTCCTTTTAACACTGACAGCACCAGTAAGAGCGAAAATATAAAAGGAAGAAACATTGTTATGCTGTCATCATGACCTGCAGTGCAATTCTTAAGCTAGTGTGGAGATGTTCCCAGCTGTGCTTTTGACCTGAATTCCTGTAAAACTAAATTGAATATTTGACTGGTTGCCAATCATTTTTATTCCCATACAGTCTCCCCCATGATACAAGTTCATTTTCCTCTGCTGACCCTTACACCATTGGTGCGGTATTGTAGGTGCAGACTTCGTGGCATGATAAATTCTGCACCCTGTAATTGAGAATGGGAAATGACTCAGTATTGCAGAACACCGTGTTATTTGTCATCTTATTTTTGGAGTTGCACCAATTCAAATCTCTGCTTCCAGTTACATTTTGATGAAGAAAAATTGCTTACTTCAATGTACAGAATTTTTTTTACCAAAGATTAATAATTTTATGGTGCAGATAAAAACTACAAAAATGATTTTCTGTTTATCCTATTTTTATATAAGTATTAACCACATTTGCTGTCTTTTGGGATGATATTCACAAAGTAGTAGTGATGTGCTGAAATAATCATAGATCTTTGGCTTGTTTTTTTAAGCATTCCCCTTATTGATGCAAATTTCCTTTGTGAGGAATGTGAGAAATGACTTGTGCCTTTTCATGAACAATGTCATTATTGAGTTGACCGTCAGAAGTGGATATGAACTTTCCGGTTGACCCATCTCCATTTTTGATCCGAGTGAGGGACCTCCAGAATGTTTTTCATTGGACATGCAACTCAAGTTATAAAGTTTTTCCAGTGCTTTCGGACTTAACTTCTGCATCTGAAATGTGATATGAAACCTATGATATGTTGATTTCTGCAGATCTGTAAATTTTAGCACTGTGCTGTTGACTGGGCTATTGGGTAGGGGGATAAAGATGCTTAAAATATGTCTTGAAGTCCAGACCCTCCTAAATCATTATTTTCACAGAAATATTTTGAAAATTCTTTTGTTTACAGACATGGTAATATAATCATAAAAACTTGCATCAAAATACATCATCTCACTACTTGTGCAATAGCATCGTAATGAAAATGGACTTTCCCAAACAAAAATAGAAACATGGGAATATGTCGAAATGAACAGGTCATGATAGGACATATTGAATTTGTGTTGAGTATTTCAGTAATTGTTTTGGTTAACAAGACCTGTAATGATGTGATTCTTACCCACATATCCATTCGGAGGCTACTTATTTCATAAGTGGCGCCAATGCAAAGCTGAAATGCATTCATTTTACAAATATTTCGTGAATAAACTGTTAAAAATTGTCTTCAGCAAAGCTACAGGGTACCGAAAGTGGGTATATTACACTGTTTCACAATGAAAGCAGTACATTTCAGAACTATAGAACTGCTTTGAATGCAAAATACTTTTCCTATTTTGACGTTCTGCAAATGTACTTTCAAGATCTTCAGGTCTAATTCTAGAAATCTCTTTTTAAATTAGGTTTGATATCTATACCAAGTGTCATCAAATGTACTAGAAAACTACAAATAAAGCTGATCAATATAGTTTCTTGAGCATTCATTCCTATAACTGTACCATAGACAAGTGGCTTTGGTTTTAGTTTGAAATAATCAGGCAGGGTTCCTTCTGTAATTGTTTTTCTACTCAGGATATATTTAACTCATCACCTGGTATGTGGAAGTGTTCTGCTTCAGTATTGTTCGCCATGGGTAGAGTAAAATGAGCAAGCTGTTTAGAGAGAGTTATCAGAGGATGCTGGTTGCGTCCTTGTTTCTTAGAATGGGAATAATCATTGCATGTGTCTCTTGTTGCCAGCTTGCTGCTTTCAGTCCTGTCACAGTGACAGAAATGACACATGTGGGACTTGGCAAGGCAGCTCATGGTTGGCCCAGCTGCAACTCTTCCTCCTGCAGCTGGGTTGGTGTACTACGTAGCTGGAGTATATAACTGTCTGTTACTAAAAAGATGGCAGGGCTCTTGTGTGGGGCGAAAAGAAGTAAGAAAAAAGGTATCAAGAATTGATGAGTGGAGAACAGTTTTTGTTGGTTATAGTTACACTGTTTATACTACTTATAATACAGGCAAGAACTACAGTTGAGTTTGAGATTGCTTTCACAACATTTGATAATTTGTAGCCGTGAATGTAACATGCCTATTTAAAAATTTGTTCAACTAACAATTCTCCATCAGTCAAAGCTCTGTTTAATTTTAGTTGTGCCACTCATGTTTTAATCATCTTGGATGTTGTATGTTGGGATTAAGTTTGTTCATCATGATTTAGGAATGGTTACAGTGTTATTACAGAAATCACGCAAGTAATTTACAAGAAAATAAATTAGTTTACTTCTGTAAATGTCAAAAGTCGAAGGAAGTAGATACCACAATAGATCAGTTTTCTGAAATGACAAGCTTTTAGAAGCAAACAATTGGTACAAATCCTGAAGCATAATCTGTTGTGATTTTTTTTTTTAATTCAGGAATATTTTTGTTCTTCTAATTAATCTAGTGTGATGGTGTTGCTGTTCATCATGTTGTCTTCTCCTCACCCATAAAGCCTCTGCATATTTTAAATTCAACAGGAGTATCAGATGAATAGACTGCATATCCTTCAATGATCAGAGCAAAGGTTTTTGTTTTTTAATGCTATTAATAAAATGAGAGATTTTGTTTTGAAGATAATATCGTGTTGTTAGCTAACCTATGTTTTGTCCGCCCAGCCCTGGAAGATCCACTTTCCTTTTTAATCTGAGAAACTTCTGTTACTTTGGGTTCACACTTTTCTCTGTCTTTATAACTCCATGCAACAGCTCATTAATTCAGCAGTTTGCAAAGGTTAATGATCAGTCTGTGAACATTTTTGCTCCAAGTGAAACTGGTATTTGCTGTTCTTCCATTTGACTGACTGTAGTTTCTGATCTGTGGTCCTATTAGTTTCAACCTGGAATAAAAATATAAAACCTGAATACTGTTTAAGGGCTGATTATAATGTGGCAATTCTTTTCAAATATCAAACAAGTTTTTTGTTTTACAGAATGACCAATACTTACTGTTTCTAATCAGTTCTGATGAGGTGGTGCAATGTTGTAGAAATGATCGCGTATTTCCTGCTGTTGTTTATGAAAATATCTTATTGTACAGATGGAGCTATTTACATATAAACAGGGCTGTATCTTTTGAGTCATAGAGGCCTGCACCTGTCAAAAACAACCACCCAGGTATTATAATCTGATTTTCCAGCAATTGACCCATAGCCTTAATTATCCTATTACAGGATCAAGTAATTTTTATGATGAACATTGTGTGGGGAAAGAAAATACATGATAGTATTGGCAGTTTAAGAATTCTCTCTTACAGCTCTTGATTTGTTTAATCCATTTTAAAAAGGAGGAAGTTTATCGCTGTTCATTAGTACCAGTTGTTTTTGGATCACTGTATTGCCGGATTTAAATTTTCTGCAACTGAGACAATTCAGCACCAATGGAAAACCTTTTTTCTGATTTTTCTCTGATCTTATTACCCTGTTCTGTTCCTTGGTAGTGAGTGACCTACAGGAAGAAGGTAAAAATGCCATCAATACTCCTTTGTCTCCAACACCGACTGACATTCATCCAGAGGACACAATGCTAGGTATTTAAGAATGCTAGTTTTTGCTTTATTTTTCTATTGGTTGCTTTTAAAGTAAATCTCTACCATCTAATAGTACATGAGACTTTTCATTTTCTCTATCATCAGATTTCTAGACCTTTTTTAAGTTCTTTTTTAAATTTATCAACTATAAAATCTCAAATGTTTAGGTTTCCTTTGCATTTGGTTTATTAAGGCTTTTATGTATTTGGTGTTAACGCACCAAAAAAAAACAAGTTCCTAAAACAAAGTATTGTCCTCTTGACTCCTTGTTTATTCTCTGCTGGATTCAATTATAGAGGAAAATGAAGAAAGAACAATGATTGAACCAAATTCCAAGGAGGAGGCCAAATTCAAAGAACTCATAAAGGTGGATCACTTGAGTAAAATCAATACTGTATACTGAAATATTTGGTAACTTGCTGTCCAACTAAGTAATCTATTCCTTATTTTGACTGTTATACATTGGACAGATGATGGGGTGAATAAGAACTGCATTGTATTCTTGTAGGCACAGGTTGTTGTTAATGTTTCTAGGAGGAAAGTGGTTCCTGGTCAAGTCCTGGTGGGATTGGTATTGGTATTATATTTCACCACCTTTGTTAATAATTAGATGAAGATGTCAGCAAATTTGCAGATAACAAACACAGTTGTTCTGGTATTTGAGCATTAGATGGGGTAAAAATGATGAAAATCAGATCCTGATGCATCAGTGGAATTCCATGCGAGTACAAGCAAGGCTCAGAACTAAACTTTGCACGCTGGAAAGGACACAGGAATGATAGTGCAAGCCTTTGTTCGTTCATGAGCAGTGCTTTGAGGCTGCAGCAAAAGCTAACAGACGTTGAGACTTTTTGGATGATTTCACATTTTTAAAAAAAATTGTCATGTCTATTAATAGATTTATTCGCACCTCATCTGGAATACTATTTTATGCCCTTCACAGGGGAGGGGCTGGACAAGGCCTGTGGGTACCAAATTGAAACCTGATTTATAAAAGCCTTTAGTTGTTGCGAAATAACATCTGAACTTATTAGTATAATTTATGGTGTAATAATTATAATGTTTAGGTTCTCATTGACTGGATTAATGATGTACTTGTAGAAGAAAGAATAATAGTGAAAAGTCTGGAAGAAGATTTGTATGATGGACAGGTTCTGCAGAAACTGTTAGGTAAGAATAGATGTTACATATATTGCCTGTAATATTAAAACACAAATGCCTGATTCTTTGTTTCTGGATCGTGAGAGATCGGATGTATTTTGCAGAAGTCCTGATGTACAGACATGCAGAAATTGTCTGAAGTTTAAACCTGCAACAGGCTAATTTCCGCAGGCTGGGGTCCTCCATGTATGTCTCTGACGCTGAGCTTAGTGTGGAGATTTGGGTGAGAAAAGCAGGTTTTAGCCTTAGTCAAGAAATATTAAACATTTAATACTAAGGCTAACAGTTCTGTAGCTCAACTGAGCATCATGTATACTCTCCCAACCACAAGGCTATGACCTTGCTCAACCCCTAAAGATGTCGCCACATCCCTGACCATTTGTAGCCCTTGACTGGTTCTGACTAGCCCACCTCACCAACATACCTACTCAGTTGAGCCATTTGCTCGTCCATTTGACTCATTCACTCACCCACTCACTCACATTCCTTCATTTAAAAAAATTGATAGCTTTTTAAAAAAACTGAATGCAGCAGCCAGTGTTGTATAAAGAGAGAGTATCACCTCCCTTCCCCCAATTCTCCTACTGTTGGAGATACTATATCTATCTGTGTCTCCTACAGTCTACCACAGTAAATAACTGATTTTCTACAGAATGAAAACAAACAAATAATTTCATGATTTTTGCCCCAAAAAGACATACGCATTTAATTGAATCTTAGAAACTTACAGCATAGCTGGATGCAATTCAGCCCATCGTGCCTGCACAAGCTCTTGGAAAGAGTAGTCGTAGCAATTGTATGTCCCTGCTTTTAGTGCCCTAACCCTTCACATTTTTTCTTCTTCAAATGCCTGTTCGACTCCCTTTTGTTGTATTTTTAAGAATTGCCTTCCATTACCTTTTTCCCACTTGGTACATTCTGATTCTTTCAGCTTTTAAAGCATTCTCCTCATCTCCCCACTCCTCTGATTTGCACTTTTCCTGTTCTCCCTAAAGTTATCCCTCCTTAAATTCTCATGACTATATGCATAGCTGTCTTGTAAGATGTTACCATCTCTTGACACTTCCTCTGAGAGGCATTTATGACACCATCCTCCTTCCTACATTCACCTACTTGCTTCCAACCTTATTCCTTCTCATTTACTGGAGAACATTCTTGTCCTATCATTTTGAACTCCCAACTGCCAATTTTTTTTGCCATTCTATGTCCTCTGATATTCTTGCAGTTTCCATCATATTAAACTACTCATTAACCTCTACCTTCGTCCCTAGCCTCACAAAACCATAATCAGTTGTGTTGTTGATCTGACTGTGATCATCATTTCTACAAGTTGAAGATGCACATGGAGTTTATTCAGGATACAGTTGGTTTTACTTATTTATCATTAAATTAATTGGATTACGTCAAGTGCTATTGAGGCTAGCTCTCTGCCAAAATCAGCTGCAACTCCAGGATCATCATGGAGAGTTAAAATAACCCCTCGCTTCAATCCTAGTCTCTAAATGCTATCTACTTTTCTCCAACAAATGAGAGGAAGATATGGACATCTTTCCTCCTAAAATTGAGAACACGTCTCAGCTGCTTTTGCTACTTTCCTCCTTTGACTTTCTCATTTAATCAAACCTCACTCAGAATTAAACCCTCTTCTTGAGCTGAACAGCACTTGCTCTCTAGTTTCTTTTGCCATCTCCCCTTATGTCCTGTCTGAGCTCTTTTCTTTCCCATGAGACCTACCTCCTGCTTCCTTCATCTCCGTTCTTTTGTTCCGACCTTCCCGTGGTGATGACCTTCCCGTGGTGTGTCATTTTAACAGTGTACTGCTCGCATGCCCACACGTCTTTCCCCTGCATGCTACAGTGTTTACAGTGAATCACAGCGTAAACTGGAGGAACAACATCTCATCTTCTTCAGCCTAGGCACTTTATAGCCTTCTGGACTTCATATTGAGTTCAACACCTTCAAATTGTGAACCATTTTTTCCCTTTTACCTTGTTACATTCTGTTATCATGTCCAGTCTCCCCTCCACCCCCCCAGCCCAGTGGGAGGGTCTGTCCTTTCAAGTCTGGCAGGAGACACACCATTGTTCTGCCAATCTCATTCCGATCACTTAATCAACATCTTTTCTCCACCAGCACCCTACATCCACTATCCCCACAACCCCTACCCCAAACTATAGCATAAATGCTGCCCCCTCCACATGTCATTTCAGCTCTGAAGAGCCATCGAGACTCAAACATTAGCTTGCTCTCAATGGATGCTGTCTGACCTGCTGTGATCTCCAGCATTTGTTTTTCAGTACAGATTCCAGCATCTGCAGGAATTTGCTCCGATTGTTCTATCATTCTTTGGTCAAAATGCAGGAATTTTCTGGCATTATCTTCAAAGCACTGTTGACTACCTCAATTTAACTAGAATTATTTATTAAATGCAGCCTTGATAGCATAGCTCACATTTGGAGAACAAATATCCAAGTCTGAGGTTAATAATCATTGTGTGACCTCATTACCATTACTACCTTTGCTGAAAGTTGCTAAACAGAGTTATTTAAAGAACCTTTCCATAATAAGCCTGAAATTTTTATGCAAGATCACAGTGAACTCTTACTCTAACGTTTGTAACTTTACGTAGGTGGCTGTTTAAGAAATGTACAAACCTAGTTTTGGTTGGTTAAACAACAATACTGTATTAGTTTCAAAACTTTTAAGTCAGCTTTTGCTCTGCTAAATCATAATTTTTATTTCCAGGAATATTCTAGGGTTCTTTGTCACTTTTTGGTTTTGCTCATGCAGAGAAACTTGCAAATCGTAAACTCAATGTCGCAGAAGTGACACAGTCAGAAATAGGGCAGAAGCAGAAACTTCAGACTGTGTTGGAATCTGTGAATGACCTGCTTCGACCTCAAGGCTGGGCTATAAAATGGAGTGTTGATTGTGAGTATAAGATTGCTGGATGAGTTTTTGCTGCTGATGTAAAACTGTCCTGTTAGTTAACTGAAATGGTATCAGACCAACGAAATTTTTTCAGTTGCAAACGTATTACAGGAAAGTTGGATTAACATTAAGGATGAAAGGAACAAAAACAAAGTTGCTGGCAAAGTTCGGCAGGTCTGGCAGCATCTGTGAAGGAAAAAACAGAGTTAACGTTTCGGGTCCGGTGACCCTTCCTCAGTTCTGAGGAACGTTAACTCTGTTAAGGATGAAAGGTTAAAATTAAAATTACAAATTTTCCGACAAAATTAAACAATGGATGTTTCATCCGCCTCAGAGTTGTAGCTTAAATTGGGTTTGAGTAAAGGAAAGGAAAATTGTGCATTCCTCTAGCAATTCATGGAGAATCCACTAATTTGACTTTCTGATATATTGACTTAAGTATGTGGGCAGTTGAAAAGCAGGGCAGCAGTAAATTGAGGAGCAATGTTTGACCTTCGTCCCCACCCCACACCAAATCCTTCTGGTCAGTTTTGCTGGAGTATGGTGCTTTTAAATTTAAAAATGACCTTTTTAGTTTTGTTTTTAATGAAATTTTCTAGAAAATCTTGCAAAATTTACTAAAATAATACAATTGATCATAGACTGTAGTGATTACTCTATATGAAATAAGTATCACAAGATATGTGCTAATCCAGTAAAGACTTGCAGCTTTAGAGCAATTCTAGTTTATGCTTTTTTTTTCTCGGTTGTTCTGGCTCTTTCTTGAATCAAATTGATGCATTCTTCAGCTGAAACATGTGACAACCTTGGAAAAGCTCAGCAGGTCTGGCAGCATCTGTGAAGAAAAATGAGTTCTGAGGAAGGGTCACCGGAACCGAAACGTTAACTCTCTGAGGAAGGGTCACCGGAACCGAAACGTTAACTCTCTGATTTTTTTCTTCACAGATGCTGCCAGATCTGCTGAGCTTTTTCAGCAATTTGTTTTTGTTCCTGATTTATAGCATCTGCAGTTCTTTCAGGTTTTTTCTATATAGTAATCTTGTCTTTGTTAGTTTTGTTCCTTATCTCACTATTCACATAAAAGTTGCTGGACATAGAGGTAATTCTCTGTATTTGTTCAGTGTCAGTGTCTTTGTCTTTGCTTTGTTAGGAAGTTGCCAGGGTTGAAGCTTTTGAGCTGTAGGGAGATGCTGAATAGATTGGGGCTATTTTCCCTGGAGTGTTGGAGGCTGGGAAGTGACCTTACAGAGGTCTATAACATCATGAGGGGCATGGATAGGGTGAACAGCCAAGGTCCTTTCCTCAGGGTAGGGGAAGTCCTTAACCAGATGGCATGGGTTTAAGGTGAGAGGGCAAAGATTTAAAAGGGACCTAAGGAGTAACTTTTTCATGCAGAAGGTGGTGTGTGTATAGAGCGATCTGCCCGAGGACGTGGTGGAGGCTGGTACAATTACAACATTTGAAAGGCATCTGGATGGGTATATGAAAAGCAAGGGGTAAGAGGGGTATGGGCCAAAAACTGGCAAACGGGATTAGATTAATTTAGGATATCTGATTGGCATGAATGAGTTGTATGCTGTACATCTCTGTGACTCAACCTTGTCCTTGCTTAATATAGCTTGCCAATAATTAGTCTGTCATAAGAATTGAAAACATTTCTCACCACTTTGTATACGCAATATCTCCATTACAGTTAACCCTTTATTTTTTACAAGCAGTCTACTGCCTATAGCTTAAACTCCAAATACTGAATATTTGCATTTGTGCTTTCTGTTTGTAATCCTGCATAACCAAAATTTCTCCTGCCTTGATATAAATGTATTTCTGCTTTTTTTTGTCTGAACTCTAGTCTGAGTTTAGAAACGTGATTGTTTTGTGTTTATTTTCTTTGCTGAATGCAAGTTCACCGTAGAGCCTATAATTTTCTGCCAGTTGCGTCATGAAGCAATAGTTAAGAGATTTGTTCCCTCTTGGATAATGGAAATTGCCATAACGGTGGTTGCCATGTTCATTTGCATGAGTAGTTTGTTCAAAGAGCTTATCAAAATGTTAAATTTGTTCCTTTGGATATCATTCAAAGGGAGATCCTCCCCATTACATATTCTGAAAATCACTTGGTCGACAATGAAATGGATATCCTCTAGTCACAGATCTAAGCTTTTATGATCATGAAGACCCACCTTCTCAACTTCATTTTTGTCTGAGATGTGATGACCCTCACATTAAGCTTACCATTAGTCATCTCTGTCTAACGAGAAAGCAGCTCATGGTCCCCTGAGACAGTGGCAGCTCTCATCGCACTTTCAAGTTTTTATATTCCTTTTATATAGTTAATTAAAAATATAGTTTCATGAATCATCATTGATGTACAGAAATTCATACTTTACAGAAATATTTTTCATACTTTTTCTGGAGACAAAGATTATTTTCTTGCTTTCAGATGTAGTAATTTAATACTTTTTATAGTAATATGGGGTAACATTGAAATATTTCTGCATTCATCTTAGCAAGTTTGTATGAATGAGTGTATGATTTTTTTTATGCTGTTTGGTTCAGACAGAATGCTAATTAGAATGTTGTGAACTGTAGATTTTCTTACGGCAGCTGCTGATGCTACAGTTGCAATGACTGGAGTGCGTTTCTGTTTGAAGCAACTCCTGGCAATTTTAGAAAAGTTTTATTATTTCTGTCTTGATAATAGTGTTCACCAGATATGTCACTAAGCAAAGGTCATGCTTATTAAACCTTATGAAATTGTTTGACACGTTGACAAAGAATAGATGAGGATAATGCAGAAGATTAATATATTTGCATTTTCAAAAGGTTTTGAGAAGGTACCACCACATAATGGGGTCATGACTAAGGTCAAAGCAAAAGGAATGATGTAGCAGATTTTTGCAGGCTGACTAAAACCTGAGAGTAACTGGCAAATTAGTTTTAAAGTAGACAAGTGTGAGATGGTGCATTTCATAGGAAGAGTTTGATCGTACGTGGTAATGTCTGAATAGAGTGGAGTGGTAAAATGATCTAAGGGTACAGATACACAAATCACGAAGAAACACAGGCTAATAAAGTCTTTTTAAAAAAGCAATCCAAATACCAGTGTGTGATAGAATCCTTGAAAGCTGTTTGCTGGGTGATGTTTTGATAAACATATCTACTTTTTAGCAATCCACAGAAAAAAGATGGTGGCTATTCTTCACCTTCTCGTGGCTTTAGCTATGCATTTCCGAGCCCCCATCAGATTGCCAGAGCATGTCTCCGTGCAGGTGGTGGTTGTACGGGTAAGTGAACCATCAATCTCTTAAAACCATTTGATATTAAAGTTCCTTGAAGCTATTCGCATGACTGCTTGACTTAACTTTGCAATTTGTAACATTGAACAGTGTGATAGAAAATGGAAGATGATGTTTTCTTTCAAAGCAGGTGAGTTTCCAAAATTTCCTCAATTGAGATTGAGGGGATAAAATTTTTACGGCAGTATGTTTGCAAATTGTGGGAAACAAGCCTGAGATAACAAGTAGCTCTTCTTAGAACATTGTTACATGATGTAACCAAGGGAATGTGGTTTGAATAATTGAATAAATATCTGACTTGAGGGAAATGTGGAACATAACCATTGCTTCGAGGGGCCCCTCGCTCATTTCTTTTTTCTTGTGTATTGATCACTGTATAAGTGCTGTTTCCTGGTTTTGCCCTGAACTGGAAAATTTCATCAACTTTACTTCCTGTTTACATGTTTCTTTCACCTTTTGCATCATCCGTATCCCCTTCCTCCCATGACTACACTCTGTCTCTGGACTAGGCTATCTATGAGTATTCATTATAATCCCACCTGAGTACCTTTTAAATGTTTCCTCGAACCTTCAATCTCCCAAGTCCTGTAAAGACTTCATTCCATTCTTCCGGTTTCTGTACCCCCGTTGCATTTATCCTGATATCACAAGTGTCCATACCAGCATATCTGTTTTTTTTTTCCTCTTTTCCTGAACAGAAGGTCTCTCCCTACTAAAGCTGACAGGGCCGTCAATTGTGCCTATCCTATTTTCAGCTCTTACCCAGGCTCCCAGAATGGTGATGAGAGTTCCTGTTGTTCTCACCTTCATCTCACCGGTCTTTGTAATCAGTGAATCATCCTCTGCCATTTCTGCCACCTGTAACTTAATGTCACTACTAAATAGATCTCCCCCCACCCCTTTCAGAATTCAAGAGAACTGTGCATTGTGACACCCTGATCCACTTGAGCATCCAAACCTTCTCCCCTTCCATGCATGCGCAGGGTATGCAACACCCTTCTACCTTCTCTCTCCTCACCATCGAATGCCCCAAACGTTGCTGGATGCAACAATGATTTTACATTTAATTTAGAATCATAGAACCCCTACTGTGTGGAAGCAGACTATTCAGCCCATCGAACTCCACCCTACCCTATCCTTGTAACCCTGCATTCCCCATGGCTAATCCACCTAGCCTTCATAACCCTGGACACTATCAGCAATTTAGCTTGGCCAGTCCACCTGACCTGCATGTCTTTGGACTGTGGGAGGAAGCCGGAGCACCCAGAGGAAACTCATGCAAACATGGGGAATATGTGCAGACTCCACACTGACAGTCTACTGAGGCTGGAATTAGTAAATAACATTCATTAAGAATTCAGCTGGCTGTACACTGGGGTGTCCATATGTAGATCAGGTGATCACATTGTGATCACTTATGTTCAGTCTGCAAGCATGATCTTGTGCTAACCTCCCTGTCCTTGGCTTTCTTCCATGTTCTAATGAAACTCACTTGAGCAACAGAGAATCATTCTTTGATTTAGATAATTTATTGTCTACTAGACTCAATATTTTGTTCAACAATATCAAACTGTAATCTCCACCCCATTTTGTTTCCATTCTCAATGGAGATTTCAGTTTTAGTATAATTTTTCTCTTTCTCATTGCTTTTAGCTGGTAGTGTTCGTCAAACTGTTGTTCACATTTCCCCAGCCACATCATTTGTTTCCACTTATCACATTGCCACCAATCTCTTGTCACTTAATTCTCTTACCTTTCATTTTATCCTCGACCATCCCTCTTATACTTTGCACACTTCGTCCCCTTTCATTTGCTTTAAATTGATTGCATTTCTAATCATTTGCAGTTGTGATGAACGCTCATGAACCTGAAGTGTTAACTTTACATTTTGCACCACAGCTGCTGCTGCTCTATTTCCACCATTTTCTGTTTTTATTTCTGATATCTGGCATCTGCAGTGTATTGTTTCTGAAACATATGCCATCAGTTTGTTTTCAGTCACATGTTTCAGTTCCTAGAAAGCCCTAGGGAACCATATGCAATCTGTCTAGCCATAAAACTGCGTGTCTGTTGCTAACAGACTCTGAGACAACGGGCAACCTTAAAACTATCCATGATAATTTGAAGAATGCAGTCTAATCAATTAACAGTGTCGGAAATGTCTTCAGTCCTTGCTTTGTACTGTGACAAGGGGACACCAGGTTATAGACCAACAGGTTTATTTGAAATCACAAGCTTGTGGAGCACAGGTGCAGTGAGAGAGAAGTCCACAGAGCACAGTTTATAGGCAGAGAGATCAAGGCCAGAGTGATCAAAAGATCACAGAACTGGTGTGTCAGATAATAGGTCTCTGCAGGTGACCAAGAGTGTTAGATGGTGAGTAAAGTGTCTACAACTGAATAACCAGCAATGGGATGACCTATAATCTGATTAGGCAAGGCAGAGAGATAATTACAGAATATAATTAAAAAATAAGGTGGTGCTGGAGACAAACCAAATGACTGGAATAACATGAGATAACAAGGTGTCGAGCTGAATGAACACAGCAGGCCAAGCACCATCAGAGGAGTAGGAAGGCTGACGTTTGCTGCTTGGCCTGCTGTGTTCATCCAGCTCTACACCTTGTTATCTCAGATTCTCCAGCATCTGCAGTTCCTACTACGACTGGAAATACAAGATAGGTTTAAGAGTCGCGTGCCGAGGGTCTAACCAAAAGTAATAAATAATTCAAAACTGTACAAATTAATTAAAGTAGAGAGATCATAACAAGTTATCAAGGTGATGTTATCAAAACAGGACAGTAAGGAAGATTTTACAATTACAGAACAGCGTAGTGGGGTCACATGTAGCGTAACATGAACCCAAGATCACAGTTGAGGCTGTCTTTGCTATCAGTTTCTGGTCAGCGATTCTGTGTTGTAGTGTGTCTCGAAGACCACCTTGGAAGACGCTTACCCAAAGATCAGAGGCTGAATGCCCTTGACCGCTGAAGTATTGCCTCACTGGGAGGGAACATTCCTGTGTGGCGTTTGTTGTGCGGTGTCCATTCATCCGTTGTCGTAGCGTCTGCATGGTCTCGCCAATACACCATGCCTGCAGCACATGAGATAGAAGCATAGAATCCCTACAGTGTGGATATAGGCCCTTCAGCCTGACAAGTCCACACCAACCCTCTGAACAGCATCCCACCCAGACCCACCGCCTTACCCTTTGCCAGTTTTGCATTTCCCGTGGCTAAATACACCCTAAACACAATGAGCAATTTAGACTTGTCAATCCACCTAGCCTGCACATCTTTGGACTGTGGGAGGAATGCAGAGCACCCAGCAAAACCCATGCAGACATGGGGAGAATGTGCAAACTCCACACAGACGGTTGCCCAAGAGTGGAATTGAACCCACGTCCCTGGCGCTGTGAAGCAGCAATTCTAGCCAATGTGCCACCCCAACGTAGACAACATTGGCCGAGTCACACGAGTAACTGCCATGTACGTGGTAGGTAGTGTTCCCACGTGTGATGGTAGTGTCCGTGTTGGTGATCTGACATGTCTTGCAGAGGTTGCCATGACCGGGTTGAGAGGCCTTACGGTCGACGCTGTCCTGAAAGCTGGGTAGCTTGCTGTGAACACTGGTCTGTTTAAGGCGTGGTTGTTTGAAGGTGAGAAGTGGCGGTGTAGGGAGGGTCCTGGTGAGATGCTCATCGTCATCAATGACATGTTGAAGGCTTCGGGGAAGTCCTGGACGACAAAGTGTACTCTATCACTGTACTTTGTGTATTGTATCCTGTGTCTGTCTTCTGAGGAGTTGTTGTGGTTTTTTTTACTGTGGCACGATGGAACTTGGTGATCGATGAGTTGTGCATCGTATCCCGTTCTAATGATGGTGTCCTTCATAACCTTTTAGGTGTCCATCACGTTCCTCCTCATTTGAGCAGATCCTGTGCATGCTCAGGGCTTGTCCGTGGGGGATGGCTTTTTAATATTTTTAGGGGAGACTCCAGAGAAGTGCAGATGTATCCTTTGACTTGTGGCAGAGTGAGGTGTCCATCTTTGGAGATGCGTGTGTCCAAGAATGAGACTGATTCTGAAGAGTAGTCCATGGTAAGTCTGATGTTGGGCTGAAACTTGTTGATATCACTATGTAGTTATTTCAGTGATTCTTCACCATGAGTTCAAAGGAAGAAAATGTCATTAGTGTATCTGGTGTATCGCGTTGGTTTAGAGATCCTGTGCAGCAAAGAAGTCTCGCTTGAACTTGTGCATGAAAATTTTGGCATATTGGGTGCAAACTTGGTCCCCATGGCTGTTCCGTGTGTCTGGATGAAGAATTGGTTGTTGAAGGTGAAGACGTTGTGACTGACGATGAAGTAGATGAGTTGCAGGATGGCGTCTGAAAATTGGCAGTTTTTAGTATTGAGTTCTGAGGCTGTTGCAGCGATGGTCCATGGATACTGAGTTTCTGGAAGAAATCTGTAGTGTGGCAACAGAAGCTGGCAGTTCCTTGTACAATAAGTTTCAAGATGCCCTCGACGTAGCCAGAGAGGTTCTCACTCGGGGTGCCATTGCCTGAGATGATTGGACATCCAGGTATGTTGGCTTTGTGTATCTTTGGAAGTCCCCTACGTGAGAAGTATGTGGGATGAGAGTGCGTAGGATACTCTGAAGGTTTGGATAAAAAGTCTTGATCAGTGTTGAGTTGATGGGTGTGTTCTTTGGTCAGATTGGCAGGTAGTTGTCTGTAGCGTTCCTGGTTGTTCAATTGTTGGTACACACTTCTTTCCAGTAGTCCATTCTGTTCTATATGACAATGGATCCTCCTTTGCTGATTTGATGACAATGTTATGATTGGTCTTGACAGTATGGATGGCCTTGCATTGTGCTTGGGTGATGTTCTTCGCTACCTCCTCAGAAGATGGACACGGGATATGGCTGACAGAGTAGCCTTCGCCGTCCAGTACTTCCCTGAGCGGAGAAACTACGCCATGTCCTT